CCCTCCTCCTCCGTCTCCTTCCCCTCCCCTCCCCCCATCCAGGCTCCAACCACTGGCGAGACCTGGGTCACGTGGTGTGTTCGGACAACGGCATCAACCTGCACCACTCTCAGTCGGACGACTCCTCCACCGAGGGCTCGCTCATACAGAGCGTCATGCAGGAGCAGACCATGGACAACATTCAGAACCCGGGCAATGACGTCAACGACGAGGCGGCCCTGGCCTTCCTCATGAGCCTCCTGGAGGCGGACGCCGGCCTCGGAGGTCCCGTGGACTTTAACGACCTCCCATGGCCTTTGTGATGGACGGTGTGTAGATAAATAGACTTCATCATCGTCGTCCTCTTTGTTGTTATCGTCGTCGTCGTCGTCGTCGTCGTCGTCGTCGTTTTCATTCGCTGAGGTTGGGATACCTGCCGCTGTTGTTTTCACGAAATGTTTAACCCCTTCACTGCCTGACCTGATTTGTGCTCCCTCTATAGCACTCAAAAAGGTCGTGGGCCTGGCAGTGAATGGGTTTAGGAGTTATTACTATTACAATATCATCACCGCAGATGGCTTGACTTTCACTGTGGACTTGGTTTCTCCACAGCTGGTTCGAATTTCACCGAGGACATAATTATGTCTACCTCGGGTGGCTCGGATTTCATTTCGGTCAATATTTTCATGTCGCGTGGCTTGAATTATTTCACGGCCAGATTTTCATCACAGATGGGTTCATTTACATAACGAGTGTATTTTCACCACAGATGGGTTCATTTACATAAACGAGTCTATTTTCACCACAGATGGGTTCATTTACATAAACGAGTCTATTTTCACCACTGGTGGCTTGATTGTCCTCCTTGGAGGTACAGAGATATGTCGCTGCAGACAGCTTGAGTTCCATGGTGGATACTATGATGGAGTGACGTCACATTTGCCGTGTATTCTCGTGGCCTCGGTCTCTAGGCCGTGAACGCAGAGTCACATTTCACAGCCCATGATCTGACCGACGTGCATTTCTTCACTGCCGTGATTAATGATCGCGCAGTGGGAGGAAGAAAGACTGTTGGATTTTGATCCCTCAACAGATAGAAAGTGTTGCTTAAGTTAATTTAACAGGAATCAAATACGTATGTGCCATTTTCATGAATGTGCAGTATTGGGAAAAAGTAAAAGACTCCAAGCTATGACTTTGACTTCGGTGCTGCATGCAGATTTCTGTCTTTGTCTACGAGAAGATCAACGAGTTTTTCAGAACACACACAAGGACGCGTGTTTCTGCAGGACACACTGGCTGCATGTGGTTTCGACTGTGGTCGGGTTATCTCCCTGACTGGCTGACAACTGCTGTAGCTCTACGATGTGAGAAGACGGACGAAGGTGATACCCTGGTGGGATTTGTTGTTTCTTGTTATTTTTCTCTAAGTGTGGAGATTTAGTACTACCGAGTATTGGTAGAGCATTGGGGGAGACGCCGTGTTGGCTGACAAACGCGAGGTGTTGGTGGACGTGTTTAGCCATCTCTGCAGTAGATCTACACCTGCCGTGATGTTAAGGGATTTCTGAAATGTGTTGAAGTTTTTTCGGGTGTTTTTTTTTTCCTACTGCTGGTTGTTACTTTGCTTGCTCGTGATTGGTCCGATATATATATA